TACAAAATGTCTGCCTTTACATTTCCAATCCTCACAATCAGTGCTGATAACAATTATTCACTATTGTATCTCAAGAGACCTATCTGCATCTCCTTTCATCAGCCCCCCCACACACAGATTGGATACTACTCAGTGGAGATTCTACTTTCCTCCACACCCTCTGGATCTCCAATCTTAACTTTTATCAGGATTTTAACTCTCAGAATTTATTTAAGTTGAACATCATAAAATCGGCAAAAGAGCAAAAATATCAGCAGTTTCAGAGAGTCCTGGAGTCCTGGTGTGTTGCTGTGGGTTAATGTGTTGGACTGCAAAGTTGGTTTTAACTTCAAAGTTCGCAGTTCACCAGTAGCTCCTCAGAAACCCTATGAGTTGGAACCTACTTAATTTCCCTAATAACAACAAAATCCTACAAAACAAGCCATAGCTCCTAAGCCTCATAATTTCATTCAATAAGCATTTGTCAAGGGATCTAATATAATTCTTGTCCTCAGACAACTCTTATTCAAGTGGGGTATTCTAAAATGTAAACAAGAAATTGTAAAACTGATAAATGCAATAACAGAATAAGGTACAAAATGACACAAAGGACGGTGCTCAGTCAGGTTAGAACAGGTTTGTAAAACAGGTGATGCTTGAACTGATTAGAAAGGAGCTGAACAGAACAATAGAAAACAGAGGACCATTTGAAACTATTACCCTGAGATATTCTTTAAACTGAGTACTGAACCTGTTTAGCGAAATAACAGAGTAGTACACAAACTAAAGGATATTATCCTTAACACGGAGTCCTGGTGTGGCTCTGTAGGATAAATGCAGAACTGCAAGGTCAATTTGAACCACAAATTCGGCAGTTCAAATTCACCAGCCACCCTCGGAAACCTGTACTGGGTTGCTATGAGTTAGACCACCACTTGTCTGTCAGTTTTTTGTACTGTGTGTTCCTGTGATTCTGGAAGCTATGCCACAGGTATTTTAAAAACCAGTAGGGTCACTCATGGTGGACAGTTTTCAACTGAGCTTCCAGACAAAGACAGGCTAGGAAGAAGAAGAGACATACTATTTCTGAATAGTCACTGAATAGCAGTGGAACACTATCAGCACCAGATTACTGAATATTGAAACACGAGGAAGAGCATCAGAATATTGTCAGATATACTGCTAGAAGATGAGGCCCTCAGGTTGGAAGGCACTCAAAATACAAGTGGGGAAGAGCTGCCTCCTCAAAGTATAGTTGACTGTGATGATTCGAATGAAGTAAAGCCCAAAGGACCTTCATTTGCTGATGGGGTACAATTCAAAAGGAAGAGAAACAGCTGTAAACATCCATTAATAATTGGTACATGGAATGTATGAAATATGAATCTAGGAAAATTAGAAATTGTAAAAAATGAAATGGAATGCATAAACATCGATATCCTAGGCACTAGTGAGCTGAAATGGACTGGTATTAGCCATTTTGGATCTAGCAATCACATGGTTTACTATGCTGGCAAGGATGAATTGAAGTGGAATGGTGTTGCATTCATTATCAAAAAGAATATATCAAGATCAGTCATGAAGTACAACACTGTCTGTGATAGGATAATATCCATATGCCTACAAGGAAGACCCATTAATACCACTATTAGTCAACTTTAAGCACCAACCACTAATGTCAGTGATGATGAAATTGAAGAATTCTACCAACTTCTTCAGTTTGAAATTAATCAAACATGCAATCAAGATGTATTGATAATTACTGGCGATTGGAATGTAAAGGTTGGAAACAAAGAGGAAGGATCAGAAGTTAAAAAAATATAATCTTGTTGATAGAAATTATGCTAGAGATCACATGATAGAATTTTGCAAGACCAATGACTTGTTCATTGCAAATACATTTTTTTAAACAATGTAAAAGGATGGAACACACAGAAATCAAATTGACTAAGTCTGTGGAAAGAGATGGTGGAAAAACTCCATATCATCAGCCAAAACAAGGCCAATAGTGGCACAGACCATCACTTACTCATATTCAAATTCAGACTGAAGCTGAATAAAATTAAAATAAGTTCATGAGAACCAAAATATGGCCTTGAATATATCCCACCTGAATTTAGAGATCATCTGAGGAACAGATTTGATGCATTGGACACTAAAGATCAAAGACTAGAAGAGTTGTGGAATGACATCAAGAACATTATACAGGAAGAATGCAAAAGGTCATTAAGAAGACAAGAAAGAAGGAAAAGACCAAAACGGATGTCAAACCTACTCTCCAGAGTAGAGATGCTTAAGTAAATGGAAGAAGTGAGGAGGTATTAGAGCTGAACAGAAAATTTCAAAGATCATGTCAAGAAGACAAAATCAAATATTATAATGAAATGTGCAAAGACCTGGAGTTAGAAAACCAAAAGGGAAGAACACGCTGAGTATTTCTCAAGCTGAAAAAAGCTGGAGAAAAAATTCAAACTTCAACTGCAGTGTTGAAGGATTCTCTGGGCAAAATATTGAATGATGCAGAAAGTATCAAAAGAAGATGGAAGGAATTCACAGAATCACTGTACCAAAAAGAAATGGTCTATATTCAACCATTTCAAGAGGTAGTATATGATCAAGAACCAGTGATCCTTTGAAAAGAACGTCAAGGTGCACTGAAGTCATTGACAAAGAACAAGGCACTAGGAATTGATGGAATATAAAATTGAAATCTTTTAACAAACTGATGCAGCACTGGAGGCACTCACTCATCTATGCCAAGAAATTTGGAAGGCACCTGGCCAATTGACTGGAAGTGATTCATAATTGTGTCCATTCCAAAGAGAGGTGACCCAATGGAATGCGAAACTCATCCAACAATATCGTCGATATCCCATTTGAGTAAAGTTTTACTAAAGGTAACACAAAATGGCTGCAAGCATACATTGACAGAGAACTTCCTGTGGTTCAAGCCAATTCAGAAGAGGACATGGAACAAAGGATATTATTGCTGACATCAGATGGATCTTGGCTGAAAGATGGTTACCTGTGCTTTATAGACTATGCAAAGACTTTCAACTGCATGGATCACGACAAGCTATGGACAACATTGCAAAATGTGAGTATTCCAGAACACGTAATTGTACTCTTGAGGAATCTGTACATGGATGGACCAAGATGCAGTTGTTTGAACAGAACAAGGGAACATAGAATGGTTTAAATTTAGGAAAGGTGTGTGCCAGGGTTGTATACTTTTACCATACCTATTCAATTTGTATGCTAACATACAGTTTTCTTATTCATCTTGTTTATTGTATGATCCCCATGTAGAATATAAACTAGAGAAAGTATATCCTATCATTTTTTTATTATTGGTTTTGCTTTTTATCCCCAGCACTTAGAATAGTGCTTGATAGGTAGTAGAGGATCAGTGAATACTTGTTAAATATATGAAAGAGTGGATTTTTCCTGCACAGAGTGTACGTCTTCAATAAATATTGTTTGAACTGACCTGAACTGAAACTGAAAATATCTGCACAATCTGCCATGTAATATAAATAGGAGAAAGAATATATATACTGTTATATGCAGAGTTCTCTATAGATTATATGTTCTTTTCCTAAATAATATTGAAAGTGTTTAATTTCTTCATGTAATTTACATATGTGTACATTAATAAACAATATATTTTTACAAATATAAATATTAGTGAATAAAAGCAAAAGCACTAAAGATTTAAAATTTTTTATTTACATGAGTTCAAATAAGAATCCAATAATACAGATCCACATCTAGTAAAGGTAAAAACACAGACAAAGTAAATAGGACACAAAAAAAGTAAATAGGGGTTATATAGAGAGTTCAATTCTTAGATAATTTAAACAAAAATGAAACTATTTAATCTCATTACTACAAGTTTATATCCTCATATCAGAGTGTAAATAACTCTTAAAATGTAAAATCACAAATCTCTCAATCCTAAAATCCATCAGTAGATACAAAAAAATCTTCAAGGCACATCAAGGTTTTCTAGAAAAAATCCCTGCTAAAAACTACAATTCCTAAAAACAAAAAAGCACTTATCAGACACTCTGATAGGTGGCATGTTTTGTTGAAACGTCTACCAGCATGAGATTAACCTTAAGATGAGACACCCTCAGAACCAACACTGGGTTCTTCCTGTAAAATATCCTCAACAAAAGATCCAGACTCAGCTGTAGAAATTTCTTTTTCTAGTTCAGCATGTTCATCAGAGCTTTCCTTCTTTGTTATATCTTTGTTATTACTATTGTCATTACTGTTGTCATTACTGACAACAGCCTCATATGGAGATGCCTTTGTAATTCCTGGGCTTGTGTTGGCATTGACTTTTGTGGTTTCACCTGTGGGTCCATCTGTTCCCTCTGGCCCTATGTCCGCACCAACTGCTGCCATCTCCATCAGCGCAGTGCCCACACTTTCTGGACAAACTGGGTTTCCTACTATGACGGCATCTGTGTAACCTGAAATTTCTTCACCACCTACAACCTCTGCTTCCAGGACAGATACTTTAGAGGCTTCGGAACCTACTTTCTCTGATTCCACTATGGATACTTCAGAGGCTTTTGAACTTGCTTTCTCTGCTTCCATGGGATTCTCTTCTTCACCTGCAAGATTTTGTCCATCAAGTAAAGTATTAACTTAAAAGAACATGAAGTACAATAAAATATTGTACAGTCACTTAAAAAATGAGATAGTCTATATGTACTGATATGTAATGATGATCAAAGTAGATTGTTAAGTCAAAACACAGAAAAGAACAACGCATAGTGTATGGTACTATTTGTTTTAGGACACAATATACCTATATATCTATAGAACTAGCTAGTTGTATTTTCAAAGGCTTTCTCCAGAATTAAAAGACACTGGTATCACTAGTTGCCTCTAGGAAGAGCAAGTGGGGATCTACTTTTCTGCAAACTCTTTAGAACTTGTTGAACTTTTAAAGAAATCATTTACATATACAAGGGTGAGTGAAAAAGTGTCTGCTCTCTGGTTATATTAAAACACCTGTCCACATTCACAGCTGATGACAACATTGAACATATACATGAAATGATTCTGCCACATAGACCAGTGACAGGGATCATGTGGCAGATCATTTGCAAATCAACCATGGTTCTGCCTATGAAATAATCCATGACAAACATAGGTTTAAAAACATTGTGCAAAACAAGTCATGGAAGAACATAAATAGAAGCATCTGTACATCTGCAGACAAATTTGGACTGGTACTAGAAGGAAGGTAAAAGTTTCTTTTAAAAAATCGTTACTGGTGACAATACATGGACTCATCACTATGAGCCTGAGAGTAAATGACAGAGTATGGAATGGAAATATCCTTAATCGTTGACCAGAAAAAGGTTCAAAAGTCAACCATCAGTTGGAAAATTGATTCTTACAGTTTTCTGGGATTCTCAAGGGGCAGTATTGGAACACTATCAGGAAAAACGCTCAACAATCAATAGTGCTCATTACAGTGAGATGCTTATTGAAGAGCCGATGCCTGAACTTCTAATTAAACATAAAGGACTGATATCCAAGGGCATTGTGACCTTGCATGACAATGCACATTCACACACCTCTGTCCACACTGTTGATAGTGTAAAAACTTCATGTTAAAGCATTCTTCTTATAATCCCGATCTTTATTTATTTATTTATTTATTTATTTAATAGTCCTAATCTTGATCCATCAGATTTCACCTGTTTGGTTCCCTAAAAGCAGCCCTTTGAGGACCAGGATTCAACTCTGATGAAGAAGTGAAGACAGTGGCACATTCATGGCTCACAGCTCAGCCTAAAACATTTTTTAAATAAAGGACTACAAAAGCTTATTGATAGATGGATAAAGTATGCTGAAAAGCAAGGAGATTATGTTGAAAAATTACACATTTGTCTTTTCTAAAAGTAGATTAAAATAAATTCTACAGCTAGAGTGTGGGCAATTTTTGTATTAATTAATACAAAAAATATTTTTAAAAGCAGCTAACCCAGCATGTGAGATGTTGTTGTTGTTAAGTGCTGCTGAGTTGGTTCCAAGCCATAGTAACCTGTATAGGGTTTCCAAGGAGCAGCTGGTGAGCTTGAACCACCAACCTTGCAGTTCAAGCAGCTTTGCAGACTGGTATATTAACCCACAGTACCACACCAAAACTTCTAGCATGTGAAACACCACGGATGAATCACACTAGCTGTCTGCCTAGTAAGAAGGACCCACTTATTTTCTCTCAATCTAAGTTTTGTCAGCTATGAAAAACACAGGTGTTGATAATGTCTTTCACCAGCCTGTTGTGAGGATTAATTAAAATAATATTTATGAAAAAGAGCTTCAAAACAATAAAGTGACATGTTGTCTCAGGAATAGAAAACCTTGTTTTTCTCCTATGGTGTGGCTGGTGGGCTTGAACATGGACCTCGTGGTTCATAGTCCAATGCTTATTATATGAAGCCATGATGCTCCACCAATAAAGTGACATACAAATACATTATCTATTATTATATTTGGCCCATTAGATCATAGTTAGAGAAGATTTTCTGTTTAACATTATTCTGACTGAAAGGTTAAAATTGTTCCATAAACAACTAATACCTCTGCCCCTGAATAATGATCACAGTAATTAATAATAAGGGAAATGTATTGAGAGTAAAAAAAAAAAAGTATGGATAAAACAAGCAAGTTTAGGCAATATGCATTAGAGTGAAAATGTATATTTTCTACTCCTGTTATTACCATTTTATTATCAACAGATCAGTTAAGGGGCTTAATAAGTATGACTGATTCTGCTGTTAGGTGTACTTTGGGAAATGGCATACAGGTGACCTTAGCCACAACTGAAACAAAAAAGTACTTTGTGATTTTAAAAAAAAATTAGGGAAATAAGGAAATTTCTATTATCTCAAGCTGCTAAGAGAGACAGAGACTAAGATTGTGTCTGTATAAATGGAAACCTGAGTAGGGGAAAAGTAATATTATTACACAAGGAGGTCAAAGTGGTCAGCAGTATAAATAGAAAACTTTATTGTTCATCAAATGCCTTAACCAAAAAAAAAAAGTACTCATCCAAAAAGTATAGCAATAGCCATTAAATTTTAGTTGCACTTTTCCTTTCTGAATGAACTACCCAGAGCTATTCTGGTTTCAGTTAATAAAGAGGACACAAACAGTTTTCATTGCCAGACTACAATGATAGATATTACCTCAAGAAGAAACAATATTAGGAGAACAAACAAGATGGCAGAGAGGGTGGAAGTATAGAAAAAAGCTCCGTCAGCAACAACACAGAAAATCGGACCAAGCAGGCTCAGGGGATGGTGCCAGAACTCTGAACCACATATAAAGGAATATTTAGAAGGTTGGAAGGCTTACAGCTAGGGGGAGTTGTAGCAGAAGCAAGAAATCCATTGTTTTCTAATTTGAGACACTCAACAGCTCCCAAGGCCACCATCTTGGGTGAGACCAAGCGGGAGAAGGATCAGAGCAGCCATGGATGCCTGACAGACCGCAGAGATAAAGGTGTGGATATTCTTTTTATTTTGGTATCTGTTCATTCAGCTCTCATTGTCTGTGCATCTCCATTCTGGTGACTAGAGTAGGTGCCTGACTGAGTGGACACCCCACTCCCATCCCCAGAGGATTCTACTACTCATGTGCACAGATTGCCTCAAAATTTAAAGAGACAGTTTCCATTTAAAACCAAACAGCCACAGCCGGCTATGAACTGTTTATAACTAGAAAAAAAAGGCCTGAACGGGGATTGTGGAGCTGGACAGGCAGACTAAAAAGGAAATAGGATGAAAATTAAATCCTGAGTTAAGTCAAAATGACCAACAGTGGCATCTTGAAATTTCTCAGGTAGAAGGGTGAAAAGGGAAGCCC